AACGGGTTTTTACAGGAATCTTAAATAATGCAATTTCTCGATTGTGTAATATCGCGTCTCCAGACTGTGTCGTTCTTTCACAAATTATCAACTTGTATAGGTATATGTAACTGGAAGATAGACGGGTAGGTTATGTAGCACGCAGAGAGTTATGGTATCCTGAAACGGTATATCGAACGTCTGTTAAGAAAGGATTACATACTGGTTGGTATTGTAAGTTTTTATGGAGCTAAAATTTGATATTGTTATGTTGTTGAACATATCGATTAGCGATGTATTATCGGTAGTGTACAGTATTTTTCGAAATAAATGTACCAAATTTCAGCAGATCATTTTAATAATTAAAATACGATACAGTGGTGATAGACTGTCGCGTTGATTTGAAACATTCCTAACCTATAATTATACACGTAATTCTCGCACACTATTGTTTGCAACAGGTAGCATTTCCATGTGTTTTCAGTTGAATACTTAATTCGTATCGCGAATGATTAAATTGGACCGTGAGATAATGTAGTGTAACCGTATTGTCTAATAGGTTTCATACGATAAAAAGACGAGAAACGTTCGTGGGATTTTCAGGTTCAAGTACGAAGTCGCGTTGGAAGTTCGCTTCTTGGGAACGCGCGGACCTATCAAGATTTGATCACGGGAATCAAGAGCTATCCAGGGCAAGAAGGGAATGCGATGTAACGGCTATAATTATGTATCGGCCAGGCGAATGTTCTAATTTGCCAAGGACAAACGAGCGGACATTTCTGCGAGACGTGATTTTCAGGCGATAATTGAGGGGAAGCACCTCGATGTACTCGGGCGATGCAATCACCGTGATGTAATTGCTTTCACGTGCCCCCGCTCGACCCTTGTATAACGTTCTTTTACTTGTTTTTCTTCTTTTTTTTTTCTTTATTTTTCTTTATTGTTATAAATCCGTGGCCACATCAATTTCACTTTGTCACATCATTGCTAATTCAACGTTCTTCGGTTTTACGTAATAGGAATTGCACGTTCCTCGAGCATTGCGTAAATGGTGAAACAAAGGGATCGAAGGAAAAGGTGATGCATTCCTAGGCGGCAGGAATTTTCAAAAGATTCATCCCGGAATACGGTGTCGCCCGTGGTAACCGATCGTCGTAACGTACAAAAATACAAACATCGTTGAATATTCATCGACATGTGTCCACCCACGGCGGATGTTCTATCTAAAAGTCACGTAGGCACACACGGTGAGACATGGTCACCGTTTCAACGATGCATAATTTAATTCAAAGAGGAATCCGTCGAGTGCTCTAGAAGGAATTTAAATTGCCCCACGTCTCTCGTGGCAGAATCCGGAATCAAAGGTTAAAGATCTGGCCGTGATAACGAGCCAACGACGCCCTATCAGACCTACTTGCGTTCAACTGTTCGCGTGTACCGAAAATATCCCCGTCCGAGCGTTATACTCAATTGAACGAACGATTAGGTTCAATAATTTCTTTTTAGAGTGTCGCCGATGGTCCGAGCCGATTAATATACGACACCGGGACACGCAATGGTGAACCAAATCAAAAATAACCGGTAGTTGCCACAGATTGCGTTTATTTTCTCTCGAGCCGTGCAGAAAATAAGACGCCTATTTTCGAATCGGTCGCGTTACGCGTGTACTCGCGCATACGTCAA